ACTCTGGAGTCACCCAACATCGCACTGAGCTTACTGGAGTAGTCGTCCTTATCCATAACCACCGTGGCATTGCCTTTGTCTGCCGGAAGAATGATCAAATCATTATTTTCCTTTAGACTACGCAGTGCAAGGCGTTCCTCCCTGGTGATATTGTCACTAGGGGGGGTGGCCTTGTGGAGGATGTTGGACAACTTTCTCCGGATCTCGTTGCTGGTCTCCTGAGGAAGATGGTAAATCGCTGTCTCGGTGCGACTGATGATTTCCTCGGTGGGGATCTTTTTGGGGGCAACAGCGAAGTTGTGTCCTTTTGCCAACACAGATACTTGTGCTTCACTAAGCTCATATGTGCTCAGATTCTTCACAGTGTGAGTGAGGGTCGGGACTTTCTCCTGGGGGATCAACTTCCTGAACTTACCCCTCTGACTCTCAGTTCTCATCTCAGCTGTTCGGACTGCTTGTTCATTGGTAACACGATCAAGAGTCTCCCACAGCTGAGGTTCCAACTGCTGAGCCAGAAGCAGGTGAAGATCGAGGAGTTGTTTGGAGAGATGGGCCAGGTTCTTCTTAGCTGCTGTTATTCTCTCCTTGACCAGTCTCAGCGAAGCTTGGCGAAGGATGGCATTTGCCTGCTTCGAGGGAACAGGATTCCTCAGACGGAGGAATTTTGGTACCACTTGATGGTCACGGCACCTTTTCAAAAAAGTTAGGGAGCACAGTTGGACGTGCAAGGACTTCCTAAGTTTGGTGAATGAATTCACCGACCCAAGAATAGCCTCTCCGTGGAGGCGTTTAATCTTAGTTTTGAGGCTTTCGCGGCCATTATTAATGACTTGGTTGGCTTCCGGATGGATGCCGCGTTGAGTTTCAGCATTGCGCCGACGTTTCGCAAACATTGCAGTCTGCATCTTCAGGGCTATGAGCTCCGATTCTGAGCTCCGATGTGTGGGGGCAGTCCTTATATACCTTCCCTTGTGGTGGTGGGGGAAGGGGAAGGGGGGGGTCAGCCAATCATATGTTTTTAATTGATCAGCTGGTCAATGTCATTCTCCATCTTCTGATCCGCGCTAAGGACGTTGGTCCTGCTTCTGCTGATTTTTATTTCATAGAGAATTTTTTTCTAATCCTTATTCGGTTTAGAACTATTTTTCTCATAGAAATCCGATTGCGCCGTATGACCATTTATTCAACATTTCTGACTTGGCTTTTTTTTAATTGTTTGTATTTTTCAAAAATTTCCACTTTTCAGTAAGAACCAAACAAAACTTTTCCTTGGCGCATTTTTTTTCCAAAAACATTTGTTTTCGTTTTTTAGGTTAGAAATATACAGCTAAACAGCACTGCTGATTGCTCTAATCACGCAGTCGTCGAAATATTGATCTCAGTAGTTGTGGAGGGTATAACGGTCCCGAAGCAACAAGTCGTACCACCGAATGGAGACACTCTTGATAATATCTTGCTACTGTATAAAGACTTTTCATTACTGCGATTACTTTATTTTAATTTTAGTATTAATTAATTGGTTAATTATTATTCTTATTTTCGTCCAAACTATGTGTATTTGGTACTTCTGTTGTCGCCAACTTCAGCAAAGTTTGAATATAAAATTGGAAGTAATTACTTTATATTTCTGACCGATGGCGGTGCCTGTCATAAATATGTTTCGTGGCTGTGTGGTTAGAGTGTGGGATTGGCTTGCTGGAGATCCGGGTTCGATTCCCGCTTGGGGGGGGGGGTGTAGGAATTGAGGTAGTTGAGGGATGTAACAATTCACTAACAAATGTAATTTAGGATATAAATTATAGTTTAATCAAGACGTTTAGAATATATACAAAAGAGAAAGAATAATCAAAGTGATCTGATCGGAGGTCAGTGTTAGACTCTACTGACTATCTTAAATCACGTAAGACGGGAATTTGGATACGCATGACCATAGGTGTGAGCGAGAGGTATTTTATACTGGGCGCGGACAAAAACATGTGTACACGTCGCTAGATCCTTGAAGATGAAGATTGAACGTGTACCGTGACGTGCAGCGCGAGTCGGTGCGATCCTGCGGAAATGCTCGCGTAGATTTCTCACCAATTGCGGTGCTACTGCTGGTTGGTTCGATGGGATGAGGAATTCTCCGGGTAGACGCATCGGTTCCCCGTATGTTAGCTCAGCGGGAGTCGTTTGAAAGTCCTCTTTCCACGCCGATCTCAACCCTATAAGTACCAGGGGAAGTGCGTCGTCCCAAGCTTCGCCATGGCATCGCAGTGCTGCTTTCAGTTGGCGATGTATTCTCTCAACCATGCCGTCTGATTGAGGATGAAATGGCGTCGTCATCAACCTCTCGGTGCCCAGAATTCGCGGAAGCTCCTTGAAGGTGTCTGAGAAGAATTGACCGCCATGGTCAGATGGAATTCTCAGGGCGATGCCGAAGCGCGCGATCCAGTGATAAAGAATCGCATTAACTACTGTTGGCATCCTCGAGTCGATCAGTGGAACTGCTTCTGGGTATCACGTGAATCTATCGACGATGGTCAAGCACCAGCTGTGTCCTTTTGAGGCACGAAGAGAGACTAAATCGACGTGTATGTGTTCGAATCGTCGTGATAGTGTCTCGATGTTAGCTATTGGTGTGACCGTGTGTCGCGTTATCTTGTTTTTCTGGCACTCCAGGCAGTGTTTGGTCCATTGGGCACAGTCTTTGTTTATGCCAGGCCACACATAGCGTTGTGTCACGAGTTTTCGCGTGCCTTTGGGTCCAGGATGAGCCATTGAGTGCAGTGAGCTGCAGACCTGTTGTCTCAGCGGAGCAGGAACGTATGGGCGAACTGTTCCTGATGATACATCACAGTACAGTGGTTCGTCCATTCCTGGGAGTTGTAAGCGGTCCAGTCGCAGGTTCACGTCCGGTCGCTGAAGTAATTGTCGGAGTTCTTGATCGTCGCGTTGGGCATCTACCAGCTGCTGAGGTGTGACGGCAGTCGTGATTTCCTCTACTCGTGATAGGGCGTCTGCCACGACGTTGTCTGGGCCCGCGACGTATCTGATGTCCGTGGAAAACTGGGCGATGTAGTCCAGTCTCCTGTATTGCCAGGGGAGCTCGTTCCGGTTTCTGTTGGAACGCATGAGTCAGCGGTTTGTGATTGCTGAAAATTATCACATGTCGTCCTTCAAAGATATGCCTGAAGTGCAGTACTGCCTCGTAGATTGCTTGCAATTCCCTGTCGTAAGCCGTGCGTTTCTGCGAAGAAATTCCAAGTTTCTTGCTGAAGAAGGCTAAGGGCTTCCAGGAACCGTGGTGTTCCTGCTGTAGAACGGTGCCGATCGCGTGATCCGACGCGTCTGTGAAGATAGCCCACTCTGCCTCGATATTTGGATGAGACAACAGAGTGGCTTCTGCTAGCACTTGCTTGCTGCGCGTGAATGCTTCTTCAAGGGCTGGAAGGTTTGGAGACCAAGCTACTGGTTGGTTTCCCTTGACGTTCGTCCCCTGAGTCGCGGCGTTCAGCGGGGCGAGGATTTCTGCTGCTCCTTTGATGAACTTCCGGTAGAAATTTAGAGTTCCGAGGTATCTGCGTAGCGATTTGACCGTTGTTGGCCTTGTGAACTCCAGGATTGCGTTGACTCGATCCTTGGGGGGTTTAATTCCTTGAGCGTTGATCACATGTCCGAGGAAAAGTACCTCTAGCTGTCCGAGGACTGCTTTGGCGACGTTGATTATCAGCCCGTAGTCCTGGAGTCGTTGGAAGAGGATCGTCAGGTGCTCGCGATGTTGCTCCGCGTCGTCCGATGCTACCAAGATGTCGTCTATGTACGGGAACAAAAATGGTAGATCGCGTGTGACCTCGTCGATCAGACGTTGGAATGTCTGAGCTGTGTTTCTGAGGCCAAATGTCATGTATGGGAATTCGAAGAGTCCGAATGGCATGATTATTGCCGTTTTCTGGATGTCTTCGCGTGCCACTGGAATTTGATTGAAGGCTTTAACCAAATCTATGGTGGAAAAGATTGTTTTGCCATGAAGGTTGGCAGCAAAATCTTCTAGATAACAAACAGGATACTTATCTGGTATTGTCCTGTCGTTGAGTGCGCGATAATCACCGCATGGCCTCCATCCGTTGTTGCCCTTAGGAGCTAGGTGGAGAGCGGATGCCCAGGGACTTTCAGCTCTCCTCGCGGTTCCGAGCGTCAGCATACTGGAGAACTCCGCTTGAGCGGTTTTGAGTTTATTGGGCGCTAGGCGGCGAGCTCTGCAGGAGTTTGGTGGTCCTGGTGTTGTCCTTATGTGATGAACGGTGGAGTGCTCCACTTTTCTGAGCAATCCTCCCGGTTTTGTTATTGCTGGGAACTCTTTGAGGATCGACGCGTACGGCGAATCCTCGTTGATCTCGAGGAGCTTGACAGACGTCGCGCGGAATCGCGCGGACTGGCCATTCGATTGGAGGCCTGTCGCGCTGTCGATGATTGCTCCGCTTCTCAAGTCCGATAGCAGACTGAAGTGATGCAGGAAGTACCGATGATGGGTTTACTGATGTCTGCTTCGATGAATCGCCATGTGAAGTCTCTGCGGAGACCGAGATCTGGCGAGATGGACATGTAGCCGTACGTGTCGATGAGGGTGCCATTGGCCGCGAAGAGTTTATAGCCACTGGTCTCCCTTTTACTTGGTGGCCGCCTGCAAGGCGTGACAGAGACGTCTGAGCCTGTGTCCACTACGTATTGGGTCCCAGTCGTCCTGTCGGTGATAAATAGGCGGCGGGATTGTGATTGAGAGACGACTTCCGCCATTATTGTCTCTCTCTGGCGTTTCCCTGAAATTTACAACCGGGTAGGCAGCTACGGGCGTTATTACCATGTTTGTGGTGATACCAGCAGGTGTCAAAATTCTTTGATACTTTCCTCGAGCTGGAGCGTCGGCGCGAGTGGCTGCGCTGACCCTGTGAGCCGTCTCGACGTGTTCGTGAACGAGACCGTGGGTCGCGCGTTTGCATGGCGGCAACGGCCGCCGTCAGCTACTCAATTCGCTCGAGGAGCGCCGTGTTGACTGCGTTAGCTGGCGAGCTGGTAATTGCTGCAACGCTGTTCGGATTGAATACCTCGTGCACCCTGTCTGCTAGCTTCGCGAGATCATCAATGGAAGCGTTCTCCTGGGTGGCGAGTGTAGCTCGCGTCTGCTCGGGGAGATGAGACAACCAGCGCGTTTTCAGGACCTCGTCGTCAATGCCTGGAACAAGACTTTTTAAATGTCTCAGGTGTTTCGACGGGGTTCGATCCCCAATGCTTTCCCTGCCGAACAATTGGATGATGTTCGCAGTCCTGGATTTTGTGAAACATCTGATTAGTTCATTTTTTAATGTTTGGTATGGATTTGTTACAGGTCTGGAAACAATTAAATGTTCGACTTCTGTGGCATACGCAGTGTCGATCAGCGGTACCGTTTTGTTGTACTTATGTGACTCGCTGACGTATCCCAGGTCAGCGAACTGTGTCTCCAGCTGCGCTAACCATAGCGCGGGTTTGTCCGCGTCGAACGGCCTTGCGATGAGCTTGGGCCTCATTGTAGCCGTTCCTGTCGTTACAGTGGGAGTTGTCTGGATGTCAGCTGCTGTTGTTACCATGTTGATTTTATTTTATTTTATTTCAGAGAGAAATAAAATCCATGAATTTTATTTCAGAGAGAAATAAAATCGATGAATTTTATTTCACAGCGCGATTAAACTTAAGGAATAACTTGTGAGAAAAATAAAGGCTGTTGTAGTCTCTATTTGTCACCAACACAACACAACGTCTATGGGTGTTCGACAATGTGTCGGCGCGAGGTCACAAATATTCACTCGGATATCACTTTTATTCGGTTTGTTTTGGTTCCGCGAGAACAATGGGAAATCAAGGTCTTGACGCTCGGACGGTTGGAATGTTCCAGAAATCTCGAGATGCCGTCGTTTAAATACCGAAGCGTGGGTCACACAACGAAATTAATTATTTTCAGAAGCGTGCCACTTAACTAGGATGCACTCGCGGGATTCACTGCAGCACTTGAAAAACTGAGTCACGCGTGTTGTCCGGTAAAACGGATGAGGGTTTTCACTTTTGTCATTTAAAACGTCGAATTTCCCTAATTAGACCACGTCGGGGTCACCAATGTAGGAATTGAGGTAGTTGAGGGATGTAACAATTCACTAACAAATGTAATTTAGAATATAAATTACAGTTTAATCAAGACGTCTAGAATATATACAAAAGAGAAAGAATAATCAAAGTGATCTGATCGGAGGTCAGTATTAGATTCTACTATCTTAAATCGCGTAAGACGGGAATTTAGATACGCATGACAATAGGTGCGAGCGAGAGGTATTTTATACTGGGCGCGTGACAGAGCGCGATGATGTCATCGATGTCCAGTCCTCTCAGCGTTGTCGTATGCGTGCATGTGTTACGCGTTGGTGTGTGTAGCGTGACGCTACAGGGGGGGAGGGAATTTGTGACACTATAAATCTCACGGTTTCAATGTCGAGTGGGAGTTTCGCAAGAGACGACTGTACCTGGGCAGGTTTTTCCCTCAAATGAGGTTTTCCCTCGTCCTTCGGCGAATGCGATACAGGGCGTTAGGAGGTGGGAAGGGAACAAATCGTAAAGACCCAAAAGGGTATACGAGATGAAAAAATTTATTTTACTTTATTTTTCTGTCGAATTATATTTTCTGGTCATGTTCAATTGTCGATTCTTTTGATTTATTTGGGTCTTCCCAATCGAACCTATCATTGCATTTCATCTGTCATTTCGTTGATTATTTCCTCTGCGTTTATCGTTCGATAGTTTGTCGATAAAACCAGCTGGCGCCCAACATTTAACATTATTTATTATTCCTTGTCATCAAACTTGCGTTCCATGTGCCGTGATAGTCGTCAGACCCCGGCCGCGTCAGATGTGAATTCCTTCGCCTTTTCTCTTCCTTCAATAACATTTTCTTGATTATTAATATTGTCAATAAATTAAATTTATGCCATAGGTCCCCAGAATCACGTGATTCTAACCTCGCTTCGCTCGGTAGGATTACGGATTCTGGGCCCTATGACATAAAATAGCATACGAAACTCGTGCGTAATGGTGTTTTTTGACTCGTGGAATTATAAAACTCGCCTTCGGCTCGTTTTACAACTTCCCACGAGCCAAAAAACCCACTACACACTTGTTGCGTAATATACTATTATTTATTCATCGTCGACAGAATTCTGTCTCAACATCCAGTTATTTCAATGAAAAATATATTTTAATTGTGATAACAGAAATTCCCCCTTTCTATTTTTCAGTACTCTACCCTTCATCACAATTAATTTTGAATCGTTGAACTAATGGCATTGACAACTCCATTAGAATTATTTACAATTTTACTATTTTTAATTCGTGGCGAATCATATCTTCTTGAATGTGAAGAGGGACTTTTGAAGGGTTTGAAAGACTTGAAAACTATCTCCTGATGTTTTTCAGAATTTTTTCATAGCCTATGTGGGAGATATTAGTATATTTCTAACTTGTGGAGGTAAAATAAAGAAATCGTGCCCACGTACAGAGTTATTATATACACCGAAAGGAATGTTGGTAAGTACGTGGGCATGTCTCCTTTTTTGTTTTCGCCCTAGATTAGAAAAATAGTATTTCGTCCTTGATGCGTGGAAAATTCGAATTTACTCCCATCTCCACGGGATGGAAAGAGATGTTGAGTTCGTACAAATCATTATTCTCATCTGTCAATTGTTTTTTATGTTATCCGTTGCTCCATATGATTTTTTTCCAGATGCTGACAAATCTAACATGTGATTTTCTCAGAGTAAAAATCAAAACCTTTGGATTCGGCTGCCCACGAGGTTGTCAAACACGGAGGAATTACGGAAAAATAAAAAGAGCATCAAAAATATTAAAAAAAATGAAAAATAGGGAAAAAAATAGTAGATTTATATCGCTTGGAATGAATTAGTGATTTTTCGGCGCCAAAAAACTTTAATTTTTATTGAAGAGGAACGGTTCAAATGGAAAGAATCCAAGAGATGACCTACTAAAAAAGCTAGAAACTTTAAAAATGATATGGGAAATTTCATTCTTTGCAAATTTCTCTGGGGAATCCAGAAGATTATTTGTACACTTTTTTATATAAATAAATAGAAAATATGTGATGGAAAACAATCAGTAGATTTTGTGACGAAATTCCAGGCGAATTCGTCACCTGCGGAACTCCAGGGTATTTATGTATAGAAAGAGAGAGAGAGAGAGAGAGAGAGAGAGAGAGAGAGAGAGAGAGAGAGAGAGAGAGTAAGATTTTATAAACCGTTACCTTTTTGTCGTGAATTAAAATCTATACGGAGAATTAGAGCTACCTGCTACCTTAACTCTACTTCAGAGCTACCTTAAGTTCGGAAAACTACCTAAATTGGTTACCTATCGCGTGAATCGATTCCCTAAATTTTGAGAATAATATTCATTAAATAACTTCATTAAATAAACCAGATATTTTGCAGATATTTCTTTTTTTCGAGTCATTTTTGTTGAGTTAAAGTTTAGTAATTTTGAGATTTTCCTACGTAAATTCGGTTAAGGATCAGGATATCACCGTGGAATATTTGGCCAAGATAATGTGCTACCCAGTGTTTCCCGTAACCCTTTTTGGTTTGTCGATAGAGTGAGTACATAGGTCGAGTTGAAATGCTTGCGCTCCCTTGAGCGAGAGTGTTAGGGCTTTCAGTTGGAAGGCCGTGGAGACGATCCCAGTCGTCGAAACGGATCGCCATTGGGTTTTTAATTTAGTTAAGTTGCGTTTGCGTTTGAGTTTTCGTTGGTAAAGTCCTAATTCCTCTCCGGAGAGTGCCCTCTGTAGATAAGCTACCTTATTCCGGTCGTAGACGGAGTGAAGACCCGCTCCGCCATCTCAGTTTCACGTTGAGTTCAAGTAATTACAGTTTTGTTCAATTAAAATAATTAAAATCAACCATAGGAGAATTTAAATTTAAATCTTTAAATACTTCGCGCACAATTACCCCGGGAATCGATAGTTCGCGTCTCCGGCACTCGAGTCAGCACCGTACGGGGCTAGTCTCCCCCAGACTCCCCACCACTATGCAACAGGCCCGAGCGGACACACGCGATAGTCGCCATTACAGTATCCACCCGGACGACTAAGAGTGAGGTACGAGTCGATTTAGCTCCCTGAACAAGTTCTCTTTCGAGGTAATTATCGAGGCCCCGTGATCCAAATTCAGTCAAAATCAACGCTCCAGACCATGGTAAGTACTCGTGTACTTATTTAGAGGTGATTAACAGTGAATTAGTGCGTTTTTCGGTAAAGCAGTTGGACCACGCGGAATGGCGTCGCTACCTCTCGGAATGACGCCAACACCGATACTCATGGTTTGAAGGACAGAAAACTCTTCAAACAAACCTAAATGCTCCCTGGAAGCTACCTGAGATTATTTAAATGATAATTACGCTACCTGAATAAATCCGAATAGTAATAGGGCTACCTACCGTAACTTTTAGGCTAAATTTCATGCTTTAGGCGTCTCGCTACGGCGATTGATGCAACTCGCTACCTACTTCATTGCTACCTTTTTGCTTGCTACCTTTTTTCGCTCTCTTTACGTAATTATTCTACGCTACCTATTTCTTTATATTTCTCCGACTCACGAGAGTTCTGGAGGAAAAATGATGCTACCTGAATTGTTCTGAAGCTACCTTTTTCGCGTTTTAATGCTCTCTAGCGTTCGTTGAGTTTTGGATTCCGGTTGGGCATGGGGACGCTATCTTTTTAGTTATCTTTACTTTATGGTTGGAATCCAGAACAATAAAATTATCTAAGCTCTCTTACGTTCATGAATAAGCTACCTATTATTTTGGAAATTATTGGAGACCGTAAGCTACCTATTTTCATGGAGAAAACCTCCATTTCCGGGTTAGAAACGCTCCTTTCCGGTAAATCAGCCACGTGGCTGATTCAAGCTCCCTAGCTCATTTTTGCTACCTTTTCGGTGAATGAGATTCCCGATTTTAATGGGTTACAAATGGCATAAGAATTAAGTAAACCATTACAAAGGCGCTCCATAATTCGTAATTCGATTAATTACAGTCGAAAATAAGAAAAATTAGTACCTTTTCGTGAGCTCTCCTTTTTTTTTTATTTCGCGTAGTTACCTCATCCGTTCTCTCTCTCGCACGTACGCTACCTTCCTATAGTCTCTCTCTCTCGGATTCGTGTTCCCCTCGTGGACAATACCTTTGCTTCTCTCTATCAGCTTTGGATTGGGATCGCTTTCTTTTTCATACTTAAAATTATTATTCGCATCTTTCGAGTCCTTTTGGAGTTTAATGGATCATTTCAGAGTATTTAAAATTATTTTGAGTCACATTCATGTAATTTTGTGTTTGTACGAATTTACGATTTTGTATTAATATCGGCAATAGCGAAACACGTCAGTACAATTGTGTTTATTATTCAATGTCGACCTTACCTATCCCGTTTGGAATTTAAGACATTGGTTTATTGGTTTCTCGATCGATGATTGGTTTTGTTAATTGATGTTCTCGTCCACGAATCCACCCCTCTCTCCACGACCCGCACACTGAGCAGCCG